TAAAGCTTATAACCATGGTGCTGTTGATATAAGAAGCCTTGCTACTAACAAAATTTTTAAAGTAAATGGCCATAGGTTGAAGCTTTACAGGGAAGGTGTCCAGGTAGGACTCGTGGAGGAGATAATTCTAGAGGACATTCCTCTAGACGTTTGGTTGGAGATGTAGTGAAGCTTGCAAGGGTCTAGCCAAGACCATAACGAGGGCAGCTAACTGGGAGGCAACCCAGCATTTAAAAAAAACACTTCTTTTTAATATTTTCAATTACATTCTGCATTTTTTTCCCCATCCTCTCTATTTCTTTTTCTCTCACCCACCCATTCCATATCCCCTTATTTTTACCCCTTCTCGTGCGTACATGTTTTATGCCTATCACAGGGCCTACTGCTTGTTTTTCACACTGAGGACAGTGCAAAAGGTAAGTGTGGGGGGGTGCTTATGAATATTTCAATCCTTCTAACTTGAAGAGACAAGGTACGCATCCCTTAAGTATTCATTGGATCCTAGATTGCTGAGAAATAGGTTGACATGAGGAAAGTTGCTAAATTTTGATGGTGAATTTGTCTCTTTGATTCTGATTCTATGTCTTTGGTATTATAAAAGCCCTGATTTTCCCCTCTGTCCTGACTGTTTCTCATTTCAAATGCTGATTTTAGTATAAGGGGGCTATGAACATGTTGCTTTTTTGCATTCATCACTTGTAGGAGGCCTTATATGCATAAAAAAACTGCAATGAACTGTCCATTTAAGCATATTTAGGGGCTGATTTGTTAGTTTTAAACCTGGCCAGTTTGGAATGCATTTATCTTCCTAAGATTCTGCAGATACAGTAATACCTTAGAGGTCTCAAACCTGCTTGCTAGGATCTTAGAAAATCTGCATTTAATGTGATTTGGTTAAGAAAGAAAAGGGGTTAAAAACTCTTAAGTTCTTAAAGAAACTGAGGATAAGGAAAAAATCCTGAGAAAAATTATGATGGTCCCAAAGTGGTGAAATACAAAGTCTAGAGGGGGGGGGGGTGAATAGACTTTGTTACAGATTTAAAATCTTTTTCGTTTCTTTTGAAAACGTGAAAATGAGTGTTAATCTAGAGTCCTTGTGAACTTTAGATTGTGTGCGGAATTTGGTGGGTGGAGTGAGCAGTAATCAATATGGATAGGTTAGTTTTCACAGTTAATATAATTGCAAGTAAGAATAAAGATAAGAGAGAGAGACACGCAAACTTTAACGAGGTTCGAAGGTGGGGTAATCCTTCTACGTCCTCAAAATCCACTATGTAGTTGGTTGTTGAATAATGAACCAACAATTACACTTGTGTGAATTTCTGCACGGTATATCTTCACAAGACCAATGTTGCTACTGCACTCGTGCTGGCTTTGTTGTTCCTTCGAAGGTCAAGCTTCTTCAACAACTGCAAGATCCGAACAATAGGACTTGCAAGATCAACTTGTAAGAGAGTTGACCTACCCTCTTTTAATCAATAAGTTTGATCAAAAGTAATATCCTTCAACGTGGTGTGGTGCTTGAGGCAAGGAAACCTTCAAGTGTTTACACTACAGCTTTTTGGAAGGAGGAGAAGTTTGCTTCTGGATAAGGAGTTTAGAAATCTCTCTTTATCAAGCTTTTTGGGCTAACTGTGAATGAGATAGCTTTAGTGATTGCTTCGTTGTGTTGTTGTATCAACGTATCTCATCGTGTTCTCTCCAGTCTTCCAAGGATGCTATTTATAGCTGGATTGGATAATCTATCCGTTGAATCATAATAGATTATCCGTTGCATTTGCTGGCTTTAATTTTGAATGAAGATTGTGATTTGAAGATTCTTCGTTGAAGTGGGTGTTTGGACGTACCCAATTGTTGAGAAAGGATTCCTTCTTCCACAGAATTCGTCTTCTAGCCGTTGTTCAAGAATTCAAGACTGTAGCACTTTACTCTGTTTGTCTTCTAGTGCTTGTTTAGGAATTCTGGACAGGTTCTTCAATTTTTAGAGATTCAGACTTTGTCTTCGAGTCATTTGTTCTTGAATCAGCATAATTATCTTCAATCTAGCCATTGAAAATCAAGAGATTGATTTTTCCTTACCAACGGGTAGAATTTCTTCATTCAAGACTTAGATAATTTTCTAAGTCTTTTCTCACTTGTCCGTTTTTTTGAGAATTCCGGTCTTCCTTGAGGCATCCGGTTCTTAGCTGACAAATCCGGAGAAGTCATTCTCAGACTTCCGGGTGAGAGAGAGATCCGCGCTAGTCTTCCGATTTGGGTGACTTAGCCTTCAGCGGGTTGTAGCGAGACATCCGGTTCTTATGTAGTCTTCCGGAACAGAGGATTTTCATCTGCTTGAGAAATCCTTACTTGTCTCTAGCTTTTCCGATTAAGATATCCAATTTCCATATCACTGAATTTGATTAAGTCTTCAGGCATCAAAACGCTTAAAGAAATATCACAACCTTATTG